CGTAAATTTGCTGCAATTTGACGGCAAAAACGTAACAAAGAATTATGACTGAAATTCCATAAGTGAGGACTAGCTCCTGAAATACTCTCGTCATTACTGCGTAGTAAAAACCAAACAGGAGAAAAGAAAGGTAAGCAAGTGCTGAGTGCTTTTGATCTAGAATGCCTAATTTGGCAACTTTACTGTGTAGTATAGATAGGAAAACTAGCATGAGTAAACCTGTTTAAAAAACAAAAATTAACTTAAGAATTAAATTTCACGTTAAATTCTATACTTGAAAGCCAATTGAATGCCACTTGATAAAATCTAGCAAGTGGCAACAACCGGTTTTTGATAAACTGCACAACATGAACGTTTTTTTGCAAAATCACTCGATGGCTTGAGTGGACAAAAAAGTCCTCAATGCTTTCGATACTTTCAGTGCTGTTTGGTTGGTTTCTAAAAACTTTTTGCAATAGAGAAAATGTTGCTCCGTTGTTGCAAAAGAACATTAAGTAATTGAGGTACATTAGAACGTAAGAGTTGGCAATGAGCCAAATCCAGTGAATGTGTGGCATTCCTTCAAAATAGAAATAGTTGCAGAAGCAAAATTGAACAGTGTCTGAGAAAAGGTGATAAAAGGGCATCTGAACTNCAAATCCAGTGAATGTGTGGCATTCCTTCAAAATAGAAATAGTTGCAGAAGCAAAATTGAACAGTGTCTGAGAAAAGGTGATAAAAGGGCATCTGAACTAGGGCAAAAATTGTGTAAACAAAATAAATGGTTTGAATAAAGTAAACTAGATAGCGAGCTTTGTTTGACTTTTGAATTTCATTTTTGTTTTTGCTAGAGTTTATCTGATTGACCATAGCAAAAAAGTTATCATACAAAATTGGAGAGTACAGAAACTGACCAGTGAAGAAACATTTTAAAGCTTCCATAATTTTATGTATTTTAAATATTTTAAAATAGAAAAATTAACCATATAATTTTGTTACAATCAAGTTAATTTTTTAATTTTTTGTTGTTTTGTGCAAAGTAACAAAAAAATTTAAATTGCAAAGGTTAGTTTTTATGACAGTTTTCTTAATTGCCAATTTTTAATGAAGGGCGCGCATTTTGACAAATGATAATTAGCTTTTTTTAATGATGTTTTTGCTTTTGTGCAAACAAATAAATAAAAAATATACACATTTATATTTTTGATTAGTTCTTGGTAATTTATTGTACTGCGACTGTCACTTTTTTAAAAGAAAAAAATAATTTTAAACAAGTAAGATACAAAAAATGTAAAAACAAAATAAATTTTACAAAGAGCTAACTGTTGAGGTATGATAGAGTATTAGCGGAAGCAGCATTCTGTTACCGAAACAATTTAATTTGTTCATTTTGTGGTGGCAGAGATCTTTACTGATGAGGTCGATCTGAATGGGCGAATACAGATGTATGAGATGAGGGGAAACAAATGAGATGGGGACTGACTCGGGAACTGACTCGTGACCAGTGGCAGACTTGGAGCCGACTGGTTTAGTGTCTAACACTGAGGTCTGCTTATGTAGGGGAGAGAGACGGGTGAGACAGAGAGTGACACGTATAGGTCAGGGTGAGTAAAGGTGATCTGTGTGTACATTGACTATGGTGTGTTGGTGCAGTGCAGATGACACTACAATTCGCTCATTATGACTCAGTTTTTTATTTCTAGCCCAGAAATTTTATTTAGCTCAAAACTCCCAACTCTAGCCTAGCCGAGTAGCAACAAAACACAAATCTTTTATTTTTAAATTTTTCATCGGTCACTAGCGCCCCCTTTCGGATTAGTACAGAGGACAGCGAGCAACCGCTTGTTGCCGCTTGCTGGAGCAGAGTGAATCCAGCCTCAAAGCAGTACAGCTCACACAAGCTTGCCCACCGTTTTCCTCCCTTCCTGGTCTATGGCTGTCTGCGCCAAACTACGAAGTCTTTCCATCAGCAGAAGTAGGGCCTGATAGTTTGGCCTGCTCTTACACCCCAACTTTCCGCATCGCAGCGCAGCGCAGCTTTACGCTGCTGTTTGTCCGCAGACCGCAGGTGAAGCTGTGCACGCGAAGAGGCAAGTTGGTCAACCGAGAGAGGGCAAACTTTTTGCCACAGGCTCGATGGTAGTTTGTCACAGACAACTCTTTTCTCTCTCCTGTTTGTTGTTAGAAATCCACCCAGGTGCAAACAAAGAAACCTAAACCAAACGCTAGTACAAGACTGTTTTTTTCGTGTTCCCAAAGAGCTCCTATGCCTTTCAAGATCTAAACTGAGCTGGTGCATCGCTTCGCCTTATTATCACCACAACGACACTCTGGTGTTTACAAGTTCTCACAACGTTCAACAGGCTAGCCCAGCCCTTGGTTGAAACACCACCACCACAAGTTGAGCGCTAATCAAAGATGGACGATAATTACCGAAAATTACCGCGAAAAAACAATTCCACGAGCTCCTTTAAGAATGGCGTTCACTGCAGTCCGTTGGCTTTCTTCGACGACGACGACGACGACGACGATGACCGAGACTTCATCGAGACAAGCGTTTTCAGCGAACCGCGACACACTGAAGCAATCGAAGGCCTCAATCAGGAGTTGCCCGATCAGAGTTGGCGCACTAAAGTGAGGGCACAAGTTCTACTATCTATACACAATTTTTCTCATCATTTTCTTTCTCCTTTTCTTTCTTCTTCCCTTTTCGGTTAGATAAAAACAACGAGCGTCGCCCTGGTGCTCTGCCTCAACGTGGGCACCGATCCGCCGGATGCCCCCAAGCCGGACGAGGCCGCCTTCCTCCAGTGCTGGATCGACCCCTTTAGTCTGAAGCCGGAGACGGCGTCGAAGACCGTCGCCATAAGGCTGGCCGAGCAGTACAAGCCCTGGCAGCCGCAAACTCGCATCAAAGCCTGCGTCGACCCCACCGTGGAGGATATCAGCAAGCTGTGCAGCCGCCTGCGCAAGCAGATGGCGCAAGAAGGAGAGGGGCGGGTGCTCTTCCACTACAACGGCCACGGCGTGCCCAGGCCCACGGCCGAGGGCGAGCTGTGGGCGTTTAACAGCAGCTTCACCCAGTACGTTCCCTTCAACTTTGTGGACCTGCTGAGGTGGATGGGCGGCACGCCCTCCGTCTACGTCTTCGACTGCTCCAACGCGGGCACCATCGTCGAGCAGGCCGCTGCCCAGTGCTCCAGCGGCGCCGCTAACCTCTTCCTGGGGGCCTGCAGCCGGGGCGAGTCGCTGCCGTTCCCTCCCGACCTGCCCGCCGACCTCTTCACCTCCTGCCTGACGACGCCGGTCCGCACCTTCCTGGTGTGGTTCACCCGACGGAAGGAACGCAAGCTGGCGCCCACCACCGCCGCCATCACCGCCGATCAACTGATCGAGCACTGGATCTGCACCAGTTCTCCTCCCGCCGACCACCGACAGTCCGTTTTCAGGGAGCTGAGCGGCATCCTCAACGCCGTCACCGACGCCATCGCCTGGGACACCCTCCCGGCGGAGCTCTTCCAGCGGCTCTTCCGCCAGGACCAACTGGTGGCCGGTCTCTACCGGAACTTCCTCCTGGCGCAGCGGATCATGGCCGCCTACAACTGCACGGCGGTCTCCAGTCCGGCCATTCCCGCCGAAAAGACCGTTCACCACCCGCTGTGGAAGTCCTTGGACCTGGCCGTCGACGGCTGTCTGGTGCAGCTGGCAGCGAGGGAGCAGGCCAGCAAGGGCGTCACCACCCTGCCCCCATCGACGCCCTACGTGCCCAGTCAGTTCTTCGCCGATCAGCTGACTGCCTTTGAGGTGTGGCTCCGGCTGAGAAAACCTTCCGATCTCTCTCCCCCACAGTTGCCTATCATCCTGCAGGTTCTCCTCAATCGGACAAACCGCCTTCGAGGCTTTAAACTGCTGGCTGACTTTCTCAGTCTCGGCCCGTGGGCGGTCAATTTGGTAACCAAACTTTGAATCTTTTTTGCAAACCCATAGGCGTTTCTTTTTTTTGACCTCATCTTTTTCTCTCTCATCTCATTCAGGCCCTGTCATCGGGAATCTTTGACTACGTACTTAAGCTGTTGCGATTGGCAGACACCGAAGTGAAGCCGTTTCTTCTTTTAATCTGGGCCAAAATTCTGGCCATTGATGCGGTACGTTGATCAGGGTTTTGAGCCGCAAAAAAACAGACGAGCATTCTCTCAGTGCTCAGCAGTGAAAGGGTCATTCGACACGTTAACGCTTGCGTCGCTAACTTTGGAGTTTTGGTTATCGCTGTCTTTGAAAAACAAAAAATGACAATTTTTACTTTTTTCTCCTCCCCAATTCAGTCCTGCCAAGTTGAACTGGTTCGCGAAAACGCCCACACCTACTTCATGGAGATCCTCGCCGACTCGTACATCAGCCCCGGCCACCAGATCAGGGCCGCCTTTGTCCTCTCCGCCATCGTCCGTCGCCACCCTCTAGCGCAGAACTTGATGCTTCTGCCAAAAAGGAAAAACGGAAAGTCCTTCATCGACATTGCCTTGTCGTTGCTGTTGGAGCAACATCAAGAAAAAGACCACCCCGACCTGCGAAAGTGGCTGCTAATCTGCCTGGGCAACGTCTGGGAAAATAAGGCCGAGGTGAGGAAGAAGAAGGTGAAAGAGGGGAACTGCAGCCTCGCCGAGCAGCTTTTCCCCTTCCTTGAGGACCCGGTGCCGGAAGTGAGAGCAGCGGCAGTCTACGCCCTGGGCACCTTTGTTAATAGTAATAGTAATAGTAATACAATGGTGCCCAAAGAGCACCTCGACGAGGTCGATTGCATCGTCGCCTCGGCCCTCCTGAAGGAGCTCTTCTACGACAGCTCGCCGCTGGTGCGACGGGAGCTGCTGGTGGCGCTGCACGGGCTCATCCGCCGCTACGAGAACCTCTTCATCAGCAGCCTGAAGCGCAGCTACGAGGAGTTCGGTGAACTTCGCTACTATCAGCATCGAGAATCGGCATCAGTGCCGGTGGCGGATGAAGCCCTCGGTAGGTTTAGTTTTAGCTGTAGTTTTCGTGTGATTGTAATGCCCTCATGATCTTACTTCTCATATCACTTTTCACAACAGAGTTGATCACGCATGTTTTCGGCCAGAAGGCGCTGAACGAGGACCAAGCTGACTCGCCTGCCATCTCTTCCTCCTTCCCCACCTCTGCCAACAACGACAACGACGACAACATCATCACCAAACGTAAAGTGTCACACTCGAGCTTTCAATGTGTCGTTAGCTTCTCCTGCTGACACTGATCTGTTGTTTTTAACATTCCTTTTCTTATTTTCATTTTTTCTCCTTTCCTCTCTCCTCACCAGCTTTCCTGAACTACCATCGACGCCTGATGCTGCGCGCGATGATGAAGTCGCGAGCGATCAACCACTCGACCACTTTGGCGGAGGCAGTGGAAGTCAGCAAAACGGTGACAGAACGCCTCTGGCAGATGGTAGAGCTGACCGTGCTTGACCCGGAGCCGGAGGTGGCCCGATTGGCCGACCTCATCTACGACGACCTGCTCGCCAAGGCGAACATCTCCAAAGAAGGCGGAAACAGCTCTGAACCCCATTCCCAAGCTCCTCAAGCTCCTCGAAAGCTACTGCTCTCCACTGGCTTTATCGACTGGTGCACGAAGCACATCCTCCAGCCCTGCTCCCACCATCACCGGGGCATTGGATGCTGGGACTGTGCCAGCAGCCTCAGCAATCGGATCACCACTAGTAAGAAGGAGGACTTGGCCGTTGAGTGGCGGTCCGCCATGCTCCGCCGGTACTACCGCAAAAAGAGGGCCAGCCTGGAGGAGGGCCCACATCGCAGCAGCAGCAGCAGCAGCAGCACCAACAATGTCAATCCCCAGGTGATTGTCGGAAAGCGAAACGCCGACGCCCGAATCCTGGCGCTGCATCCTTTTGAAAAGTTCCTCGTCTACGCCAGCGGCGACAGCAGCAGCTTCTCCGTGTGGAACTACGACTTGCAGAAAAAACAGCAGCACTCTGGCAGACTTTACCAGCAGCACCTCAACTCCACTGTCACCACCTACTGCAATGACACCAATGCCTATGTGATAGAGAACGACAGCGTAGGCGGGGACGGAGGCGCCCGCATCACCGACCTCAAGCTGATCAACACCGCCGACCGGGCGCTGGTGATGGTCGCCGCGGAGGACAGCTCGGTGAAGGTCTGGGCCGACCTGCTGCCCACCGCCTTCTCCGGCCGCTGGAGTCCGGTGGCCAAGAATGATGATATAAACGGAGAAGGAGGTACGCCTCCCACGCCTCGGCTTGCCACTGCCTTCTTCATCTTCGAGGACGCCCCGTTGGGGCCGGGGGCGGGGGCGGGGGCGCCCTGCAGCAGCAGCGCAGGTGTCTACCAGCGAGGTGCCCACCGCCCACGCCGGCTGCGCCTGTGGTGGGAGCAGTGTCAGCAACGACTGGTGGCCGGGGGCGAGCACCCCTTTGTCCGCCTGTGGGACGCCCACCGGGAGGCGAAGATAGGCGACATTTGGTTAGGGGGTGACGGCATGGAGGCGGTCACCTCGCTTTCCTCCGACTACCGCCACCTGATCTGCGTGGGCGGCGAGGACGGCTCGGTGCGCCTCTTTGACGACCGCCAGCAGGGGCACGCAGCTCAGATCTACTCTGCCGGGGGCGGGAACTGGAACAGGGGTCCTGTCATGAATGCAATGATCTGGCCCAGTGAACCTTGTTCCGCCGTGAACTCCATTCACCTGGTCAGTGGACATCGCTCCGGAGAGGTCTGCTGGTACGACAGACGCAGTTTGTCAAAGGCGGTCGAGATTGAAAGAAATGAGGGGCCGATGACGGCGATGGACTTTCATGAAAACACCGATGTCTTTGCGTGGTAAGTGGCGGGAGGAAACGCATAACATTGAAGTTCTAAAGCAAAACTTGCTATTGTTGTTGTTTTGTTTCAATTGACAGCTCATTCGGTACTGATTCCTCAGAGATGCAGCTCTACACTTCAGACGCGCTCAGAGGACCGTTGTTGAAAAATCAGAATCGTCACGTTAAATGCCTGTCCTTTCACCCCTTGAAGGTAAATTTGTCTCTTTGACCTGAAAGGTGTTCTTTTTGCTAACTTTTTACCGTTTTCTTTTTGGTTTCTTGCATTTCAGTCAAAGTTTGCCCTGGCACTAAATGACGGTACACTGGCTATCTACAAAACAACTTTGCGATTGGCGCAAAACAACTTCTAGGAAACATTCAACGGACTGCAAATTTTGTTTAAAAGGACTATTCAAAGTAGCGGCAGGAACGACGCGTAAGAAAGTTTTTACTTCTCACTCATTGTATAAAAACATCATCTGTAAACGGTCAGCATTAATACGGGCAAAAACAAATATTCCACAAAAAAAAGAATCATCTGTACACAATAAAATCATTTTTTTGCACAACCAGATTAACATAGTGCCTTTTGTTTTGAAGGTAAGAAACTGTGGCTCGAGTGATGAGCAAACGCGGTGTTGTGGCCAAAGCTTGCTGTTGTTGACGATTAAGAGAGCAAGTGAGTGATCTGACGACGACGACGAGTGGACGAAAGCGAGGGGGGGGGTTGATCCGAGGCGAGCGATTCCGAAGCGAGTTTAGGAGATTTCCAGAAACGAGCGATTGAGACGAGTAGTTGGTTGAATTGGGTAGACTTTATTGATGATTGGGAAAGTTTGTTGGGACTCAGTGCAGAGAGCGACGGAGCGCTACGAGTGTACACTGGCCTGACGATCGGCACACGAAAAAAACTGGCCTGACGAAAAAAACTGGCGACTGGCCGCTCACATCGAGGGCCCGTTATATGCAAGGACAGGGGGTGGCCAGAAGTGACCAGAAAAGAGAGAACATGAGTAAGGGTCGAATGGGTGATAGACTAAAGAAGGTGGAAAGGTTAAAAGGAAACAAGAGGGAAAGAAAAGAGAAAAGACTGGAAGAAACGAGTAGAGAGATAGAAAACATGCACTCGCTGATAACACTCACAAATTCGTCAGCTCCACGTAAGTGCAAATGAGCAAAGATAAAGGGGCTGACTGACTGTCAAGTTGGCTGCTGATTCAGGCGGGCTACAAACTTTTACATGCAAGTAAGACACAAACAAAAAGCCTTATTAACAGAAAAAGTTAGATCAGTTCAGTTTAATTAAACAGTTTATTGACAAACAAAAGCAGTTTAAAATAGTAGAAAAGTGACTGCAAAAAAATAGAAAAGAAACCAAAAGTTAGAGTACAAAAAGTTCAACTGGTAAACTGGTGGTACCTTGCCGAAAGAGGTCTGTGAGACATTTCCATGTCGGCCGTAGGTGACCGTGTGCGGCCGCATCCTCGAGTGAAACAGATCCAGATAGCGGTCCAGCTTTAAGCGACTTTTCAAATCCTTTTGAATGCTCTTCGAGTGTACGGCCACGCCGGTCATGTACGAGGCACAGTCCTACATGCGCCTCGTCAGGCCAATGGCGTGGTAGTGAATTGACTTGATCAGCAGCAAATTTGCCACTGCGGCTAACCAGATGACCGCCTTAAATAAAGTCGATATTTGACTGTATTTTGAATCACAACCAGAGAACCGCATCACCACCGTCCACATGGTGGCATTCTCCGGATAGGTGACCAGAAAGAGGATCCACATGGCCCGGCCGTACAAACGGTTAAAATCAGCTAGAAACACCAGCGAATCCGCATTGTACCGAAGATGAAGTCTCAGCCGAAGATGGCTGAAAAACTCCACCTTTCCCTCGTGCAGGTGCGCCCAAGATTGCTCCAGTCTGATGTGGAAGACGTAGCAGAGCAGTAGTAGGTGAATGACGTATGTGTTTATCAGCTCCAGGCAGATTCGCACTAAAATGGCCCAAATTGATCCAAAACAGATGAAAGAGATGTAAACTGAGGTTGGGTAGTTGGTTTGTTGCAGCAAACCTAGCTGCTTGATTCGAATGTTTAGCACGACGAAGATGAAAAGCAGAAACACCACTGAAAAAAATAAAAATATAATTAAAGGTTTTTAGGCTAAAAATTGAATTTTTACCGTATAAAACGCTAAATATCATTTGGTAAACACGAGCCAGTGGCAACAGTCGACCGCTCAAAAACTGAACAATCTCAATGTTTACCCGTTTAAAAAATTTTAAACTAGAGGTAAGAAAAAAGCCTTCAATTCCTCTTCCTCCTCTGCCAACTTTACCACCATTTACGCGGTAAATCCGTTTCAACACCGAAAAAAGCGTTCCATCATTGCAGAAGTAAAAGAGGTATGTAGAAAAAACCACCACACAGCAATTGAGTACAAACCAGATTCGATGAACGTGCGGAACACCTTCGAGGTAGAGAAAATCACAAAGAGCAAATAGAAAAATGGGCGAAAGGTGGTCGTAAATAAGGATGGCCGTCGTTCCGATGATAATGTACGCTACAAACATCATTTGAATGGCTAAAACACTATTACGAGCCAGATAATTAATTTGCATTGTTTTGTTCTGAGTTTGCTTCTTAACTTTAACCGCCCTTTTGTTTTCATTGATCTGACTGACCGTTTTAAAAAAGCTGTCGTACAATGGACAAGCGTAGAGAAATTTACCACGCAAAAAATATTTTAAAAACGACATTTTAGTGTTGAATTTTGCTAAAAGACTGCAAGAAAGTAATGAAAAAGTGTGTTAAAAAGTTAAAAAACTGTCTAGTTTTCGGTGCAGTTTGGAAATGTTTATTTTGCAATTTTTTCAACAATAATCTAACTTCCCTAAAAAAATGATGTTTCTCTCTCTGCACGCACTT